GCCCATTCAGATAGCAGATAAAAATTGTCGACAACAATTTCAATTGTTATTTAACATTTCTTCTATTTATTGAACATACTGTAAGTATAAGAAGAACTTTGCTATGGAAACTACTAGACTGTCTGTTTTCTTAGGCATTAAATTTTAATTATTATTGCAACAATTTTAATTGAGAGATTTAACCCATATAATACTTAGACATAAGAAGTATATATTTCGCACTGTGCATTGAAATGAAATTTCTATTTGCATTTATTTATTTAATCAACAAAGTTTTTCAGCATTTTTATACATATAGAACAAAAGCCAGTTTCATAGAAACTCACTACGTATACAACTAAATTATATTTTAAAAATTAAATAAAAATCGCCATATTTGCAAAACATCTGTGTTGCTTCGTTCGCGAGGAATTTAAATTTACGGTTTCATTTAAACCACCTTCCGAGGTTTAAGTCGGGCCCAATTACCCCCCTTTATGCGAATGTTAAACGAGGGAGGGTCCAACTTGGCAGGTATAGTGGTTTTGTTCGACGGCGATACTTCGAAGGCGTTTAGGAGCTGATAAGTCATTACTTTCACTTCGCAGAGAGCGAATCTTGACCCTGTAAAGTATATAACAGTTATTTCATACATGAAGGCAAGTATAATTTTATTAGTTATATCATGCTGGTATTATATTGGTACAAGGATTTTTTTTCTAAAGGACTGTCCTTTACGAGTTAAGAGCACTGTCCCATATCTTTCTACGTAAGTTTTGTTTATAATGCCCCTCCCTATCTACTTCTTGGTTATGCGGGAAGGGCACTATGACCTGTGCGAGCGAACCCGCACAGGGACCATCTAAGTCAGGTCCTACTACAGATCAGCCCGTTTGCACGGACTTCATCCGGTTCTCTGTAACTTGTACCTTAGGTGAGCCGCCCCGGGGCACATACAGGAGTTGTAGGTACGCTCGCTTCCCGTCACGCTCTGCGCAACTAAAGGTTGCCACCGCTAACCTGCCGACTCTAAGTCGATTACCAACTCTCCTCATTGGTGGCGGAGCTGTAAGGTACGCTCAATCTCCGGCACCGAATGAACGGCGTCTCTCCAGTTCTCAAACTCCTACGCTGCCGGAGGAACCGGAGGATGTCTAGCTCATCCTCTAGTAGCTCACCAGAATAATATTATATCGATATTTTTAATAATAATTAATTCATTATAGCTTTGTTATTATTTAAATTAGAGTTTATTTTAAGGTAATAATATTTTTCATTTCATTTAATAAAATTGTGTATTGTATTTTCAATGTCGTGCCCACATTTGTATGGCGTAACTGTGGCAGAATTTTATAGAAGCCTTCGTGTCACTGTTTCAACTTTGGGACGCTTAATTTCAGTCCTGTTGGCTATCCAATTAAAAAAAAAACTTAAATAACTAAAATTGTTTTCGAATTGACATATATATATATCGGAAGTTTACAGGATATCTTCGAAACCCTGTTTCTAGTAATCAGGATAGTCGAGATAGTGACGTAATATCATTTTGATAAATGAGCATATCAAAGCTAGATTATAATGAAGTCCTCGAGAAACCTTTACACAGCTTTTAGAAATTTTAGAAAAACATCCACAGTGACTTAAATTTTTCTGGTTATCTACAGTGCTTCTACTGTTGGTGGTAACCGGTCTGAATTATTGTCACATCTTATTATTACCAGTTTAACTCATAGGTATTTGACAAGTTATTTCGCACTATAGTATATTATATAGTATAGTATATAACATATTCATACACTATAGTATATTAATAGCTATATATATAGCTACTTGCGTTTGGGACATTAGGGACATTACATAATCATTACATTAGGCATAATATACTGCATTAGGTATACTGTTATGTACATTATTAATACATACAAGATATGTGACAGACGTAATGGAATACGAGTCTAAATAGGATTTGAAACCATAAAGTGATTAAGAAGATTATCGCTAATTATCCCCGTTATTTGGATTTAGGAGACACGAAATAATTCTCACCGATGCAATTTCTGGGTCCAAGTCCAAACGGCATGTAGGTGAAGGGCTGAATCTTGTGTTTGTTCTCTTCAGAGAATCGCTCGGGATCGAATTTGTACGGATTTGGGTAGTACTCAGGGTCATGGTGGATTGCCCACACGGGGACCTGGAGAGCGACACCTTCGCGGATCTGGTGAATAAAATCTTCTAGAGCAAGGACAGGTTTCATTTATTTATAGTTACGTGGTATTATAATATACCATATTGATGTACATTACCTATTTCTGCCGCCAAGCAGTAATGTCAGCATTACTGTGTTCCGGTTTTGAAGCGTAAGGATAGTGGTGAAATTACAGGCACATAGGACTTGTCAACTTGTCTCGCAGTGACGGGCGCAGTGGCGATGCGCCTCAGATCTTTGTGATTTCAAGCACTAGTGGCACTACAACTGTTATGGACAGGCATGTAGCTTACCATCAGATGCACGACTTGTTCGTTCCGCCACTTGATAGTATAAAAACAAGTAAAAAAAAACGTAATGTGTTCCTACAACCTTGCGCCATCAGTTATCACTAGACGATAAGCCATTTTATAAATGGAAAAAAACGTTTTTAAACCATTTTAGCATTTGGTATGCCAAAACATTTTGTAGTATTAATTTAATTTTTTTCGTGTTGATATCTTGAATTCAAATGCCAGCTGAGAGTCCAGACCTTAGACTATTTTTTTTCCATCCTCTAAGGTACCCCGTAGGTAAGACACCCCGTACGCTCGTCAAAGACAATAGACAAAAATACTTTGAACTCAAAAGTTTTATGCCGGCAATAGAGAATGTACTATAACTTCTTGCTCATTATTCTCGGAACGATCTGTTTTTCGAAGTGGGTAAGAGCTCACATATTTTGTATAATCTATTAAATATATTTCTATATCTTTACCTATGAAATAAGAACAGTTTGCTTTCGAACACTTACAATGAAGTCTTCAGTAGCTGTGTCATTCGGTTTACCCATATTGTAGTCTTTGGTACAGTATCTGTCCAGTAAAATGGCGGGCGGCCATAATCTCAATATTTCTGAAATACAAATTATTCCGCTTAAGTTCCTTCAAATATTCGATATTAGTACATACAACCTCGCAATACGGCAGTCCTATCGTAAATCCAAAACATCTTTTGTATTACAGGTCTAAAAGTTCAAACACTTCAGCGAGTTACCACACTTATCGACACGGAATCGCATTAAGCCCGTAAAAAAAAACTTTATATCTATGAAATAAAAGCTAAACGATGTTGTGCGTTTCGCATCGGTTCGTACGGTACGTACAAGTCGGAAACCATTTGGTTTCTGCGAATTTATCGCGTCCGCGACCGATGACGGCTGCTTGGCAGCGTTGACACCCAAGCGGCCGCGTTGATGCCCGAACAGTAATGTCAATTCCCGATTGACTGCGTCGACGCCCGAACGGTCGTGACAAACACAGAATGGCTTCGAATGTGTGAAGCTTACAATTAAAACATTTGATCCGAGACGAGAAAAATACGCTATTATAGCTTATCGAAATAAAAAAATTAAAGCTATTTTTTTACGTAGTATATGTGACAAAACTTTTCTTCGTACCTGATATTACCTTGTCCAAGTAAACCATATTCATTATAGAATTATAGTCAAATTTTCCGTTGGTCTTGGCCTCGTTCTCTCTGATTTCCTGGTACAGTTTCTCTTGGACGTCAGGGTTGATAGCCAGCTCGTACAGTAGGAACGATATGGCAGAGGATACGGTCTCAAAGCCAGCTACGAAGAACAAGATGGCTTGCGCGCACAAATCATTGTCGGACCATACTATAGAAAAAATAGTAGAGTAAAAATACACATATAAAATAATTTAGTTGTGATTCGACATAACGTAATAAATGAAAATAAATTGAAATATTTACGTCATAAGTATTGAATATCAATTGCAAATTAAGCATTGTTTCAAATTATAGAATGTATGAATATGTGACAAGTGCTATTCAAAGGTAAAAAAGTAATCCGGTGATGTCATAATGCACATGAACTTAAATTATTTGAAACCTTATTGCCTGATAATGCCTTGGTCCCGGGGTAGAAGTAATTCCCTTGAGGGTTCTTTCTTTTACTGATTGCCAACATTATCTCAAGTGAATGCTACACCATGACAGCATCAAAAATTATACGTATTTCAGTTTGACATACCCTTGTTGACTTTCTTCAGCCCAATGAAAGATTCTTCGGCGGTAGCAAACCCGGCGTTCGCGTCTTGGCTTGATTTCTCGTCGTGGGACAGTTTTCCTGTAAAGTTTATAGAAAATGTATATGGTTTATAGATGGTTATAGGTGTTCGTGATTGGTACACATTGAAGATGAAACTATCTTATTTCTGCTGCTGAGGGATATCGAGCTAGTCAAGAAATTAGCCATGAAGGACATTGAGCTCTTCCTGAACCGCAACAGTTTAATCAAAGAGGAAGTTGATCCAGTCTTTGGAAGAAACTTTCTTTTTAAAAGTTTAGATTATGCCTTTATGCATACCTCTATGTATGTAGACTCACCGTGAACAGGAGGATCTTGTATTGAGTTCTAGGTAGTGTAACCTGGTCGCCTCGTGGTTTATTAGTATTGTTAGATTTAAGAGTAGAAAAAAGTTTGTTGCATACGAAGAAACTTATCCGCTCACGCGATGCGCTCATCCTACCGCAAAATGGCGGCTATTTAGTTTCGCAAATTAGAAAAGGATTCAGGTTAAGTACAAGTTTTTATAAATAAAAATTATTATTCTGCATTGGTAAATAAATACCCTCCGTACTACAACAAAAATATCTCAAATAAAATGCAGTAATACACCGCAAATCCTGCACTTAAAAAGCACTAATGAAATTTTTGGTGTACTTGGGTAAATATGATAATATTCCGTTTGAGTGGTTCTAACGTTTACCATGAAATTATTCCTTAAAGTATAGTTTATAAACATTTATACTCAGGGTAAACTTAAAAAACGCTACTTACGGTATGTTTTCAATAAATAAACACCGAAACCACCAGCCCAAACAATAACACACACGATTGTCGTGACGTATTTTTGAAGTAGTTTATTTTTTTTAAATGACAGACCCAGGCATTAAAAACTTTATGGTTTGCTAGAGTGGTTACCGAAATAGCAATTAGTATTAGTTCTTTTACCTGTTATAACTTCGATATCCGATAAATCGGTATAAAATCATCACCGGCACCTCTAGGTGTGGTATGCGTCTACGGCTGCATGTATCGCGTGAGCGGATAAATCGCAAAAATCTGAGCCAAAAACTGATACATAAGTTGACAAGTCTCATGTGCCTGTAATTTCACTGGCACCCCTTAAAACCGGAACACGTTAATGCTAATATTACTGCTTGGCGGCAGAAATAGGTAAGGTGGCAGTACTTCTCTCGACGAACACTTTCACAACGAGCTCTACTGCTGCTAAACTGCTAACTGCTGCTAAGTTTGATGCCAGGCAATCGGTTGTCTGGCACATTTTTTTTTTTTTTCATTTTCAGTGGTAAGTAGTACACCTATTACTGCATTTTATTTGAGATGCTTTTGTTGTAGTACGGAGGGTATTTATTTACCAATGCAGAATAATAATTTTTATTTATAAAAACTTATATTTAAACTGAATCCTTTTCTAATTTGCAAAACCAAATAGCCGCCATTTTGCGGTAGGATGAGCGAATCGCGTGAGCGGTTAAAGCTCTGACACTGCAACTGTTATGGACAGGCGTGTAGCTTACCATCAGGCACACATGACTCGTTCGTCCCGTCACTTGATATTATAAAAAAAACAGGGAATTCTCTGTAGGTACTACGAGTACCAAAGCAACAAAAATCACTTTCGGGCATTTCCCAGAACATCCATACCGGAAACAATTCGAAAAAGTTTATTCCAACTGGATCCTACTGGGAATCGAACCCGGGTCCTCTCCATCCAGCACGCATCGTACAAGCCGTTGGGCTACCGAGGTCATCAAAAGTGAGTGAGAAGTTAAACAAACAAAAAAAATAAAACCAAAAAAGAAACAAATATAAAAAATAGGGCTTCACGACCAGTTACGTGACATGTCACAATCACGTTTGGTCATTTGCCGTTTAACTGTGTCAACGTTTGAACAGAATAAACCAAAATCAGCGTGATCTAAAAATGTATTACTAAAGAGGAAAAAAAAATGCGTTATACCTCCCTTTACCGATAATATAAGAATAAAGTCCATGTATGGTCTAAATTTACACACACGCGCGATTTTAAGAAGCGATTGCGATGCAGTTGCGCGTTTGCGTTGATGCAATCGCCTGTAAATCGCAAGTGCAACGATGCTAAATGTCGTCGTGTGTAATCAGTCTAATAACTTCTAGTCGTAGTCGTAGTCTAGTAGTAACTTATAGTTTCTAAATACCATATTACTATTTAAAAACTATCTGCTTTTCGACCGAGTTTTGACTTCACAACGCTAAACCGCCAAACCAACGAACAAAAAAGTTACCTTTCTTAAGTTTCACGACACTGCAGTGCTTCTACAAGCGTCCAATTTTAAGGCACCTTAAGTATTGTATATTATATATATATGTATATTTTGAAATAAATTATTATTAAACCCCTATATATTACTAAACCCCTAAAACATGAAGAAACAATTACCTTTCCTAGCTTCCATTAGCAGATGTATCATGTCAGGTCGAACAATCTGTTTTAGCTCCCTGTTCTGCATTGTTTCCAACACTAGTGTCTTGAAAAAGTTCTCCACCGGTTTCGAGAACCGAGTCCATTTGAATAGCTAAAAACATAATAAGTATTAACTTGAAAGAAATAGACAATTATACAATAATTTGGTCACCGACAACTTATTCTATACGTCTTAAAATGATCGATTTGATATTTTATTCTTATATTTATGTACGAGGTGCACGAAAGGAGCATCTTCATGCGACGTACCATTCTTTTCCTGTACGTCTGACAGACACTGGGCAACAATCGATGAGTACCTTACAACCATTAGCAAATCCATTCAGCATGATACAATTAGTGCGAAACGTAATCAGAATACTGCCTCCGTGGCCGAACGGTTACCATGTCGGACTGCCACGCAGAGGTCCCAGGTTCGATGGCCGGGAGAAATATTTGTATGGCCTACATTTATTTTTCTCGTGAGTTTGGCTGTAATTTATGGTTGTCTATGTGTGTGTCCATGGCACCCGCGACACAGGGTTTCCCTAGTGCGGGGCTATGTTGAGTGTGTGCGTTATTATTATTATTATTATTACAAGGTCGTATAGAATTTTTATCATAGCTATAAAATGCATCCTAAGCTAGTTTATGATAGTTATTGTACAGTTTTATTTGATTCTTTGTAAATAGAATAAAAGTGTCGTCAAAAGTCCATCTTGGCATGTTAAGGGGAAATTTGAAAGATACTTACTGCAGCTATCTTCGGGAAACAAATAGTGTAGAATAAGCCGAGTAGCTGACGGAAACTCAGAGTCGAAGCTTCATTTCCCATTTTGTAAAACTGGTTATTCTCATCCATATAAGAATCCACCTTTAGGCCAAAGGCACAAGATGCGATTACGTCATTCCCGTATCTAGTCGTTAGGTCTTTCACATCGATCTCCAAATAGTTCTCTGTAAATAAAAGAAATAATGGAAGTGCACGTTATAAAAGGGGCCAGTAGAATTTTAGAATTTACAAATACTAAGCATGATATTGAAATACATCTCAAATATCCGTTCATTGTATTGCAGTGACGATAATATTCATATAGAAAGTAAAACGAATAATTAGACCTCTTGTAACATTTCGTTTACCAATCATTATCCGCTCACGCGATACATGCAGCCGTAGACGCATACCACACCTAGAGGTGCCGGTGATGATTTTATACCGATTTATCGGATATGGAAGTTATAACAGGTAAAAGAACTATTACTAATTGCTATTTTGGTAACTACTCTAGCAAACCATAAAGTTTTTAAAGCCTGGGTCTGTCATTTAAAAAAAATAAACAACTTCAAAAATACGTCACAACAATCGTGTGTGTTATTGTTTGGGCTGGTGATTTCGGTGTTTATTTATTGAAAACATACCGTAAGTAGCGTTTTTTAAGTTTACCCTGAATATAAATGTTTATAAACTATACTTTAAGGAGTAATTTCATGGTAAACGTTAGAACCACTCAAACGGAATATCATCATATTTATCCAAGTAAGTACACCAAAAATTTCATTAGTGCTTTTTAAGTGCGGGATTTGTGGTGTATTACTGCATTATAATTGAGATGTTTTTGTTGGTAGTACGGAGGGCATTTATTTAGCAAGGCAGAATAATAATTTTTATTTATAAAAACTTGTATTTAAACTGAATGCTTTTCTAATTTGCGAAACCAAATAGCCACCATATTGCGGTGGGAGGACCGCATCGCGTGAGCGTTTATACGAGTAGATATAGTGATAGAATTATGTGAAATGTCACATAATTCTATCACCTAATGTGCATGCAATAATGAAAGAACAAATGCCACCTTGTGCGGGAAAGGTGTTTTGATTTTATCATAAATTCCCAAAATCTACTCACGTTTAGAATCCTTGATTTTCTTTCTAAGCGCGATAATCATCTGATCCCCCACCTCCACCATCAGCGGCAGCATCATCTTCATTTTGGAGCTGGTAAAAGCAGGGCTAAGTGCAGATCGCATATCTTTCCATTCCTCACCTGATGACAAGAATTTTAAAATAGAAAATGATATTTTTTATTCTCAGAGCTATTGTATTCTTGCTGTAATACAATGTACTTAACAAGGCGATTGCGAACTCGCCTACCAAACCAAACATCAGAACATATTTCTTCTTGTTTTAAGAGAACCTCATACTTGGGATGATATGTCGCAGGATCTCAACGGGCAACACACACTTGTTACCTCTTAAAGATAGAAGATTCCTCCCAAAGAACGGGTCGAACTCCTCATTGAAGAAACGGTTGTGATCGAGAAAGTGCTCGACATCCTTGATGGCAATTTTCTTGATTAGGTCGATGTCTCTCACATGCACAATTGGTGACAGGATATTGTACATGCCGTAGAACCTAACAGAAGATTTCAATAT